CTGAACCCACTGCTCAGATTTAACACCAGGAAAAGAGAGAGGAGCAGGCATTAAGTCTCTCCCGCTGTACTGGGAAAAGTACAAGCCACCACTCATGATATATCTTACCAGAAAACTGAACATGAGACTAATCTGACAATAAGTTTACAGGGAACACAGGGACAGAGGAATAAATCAAACAACCTGGCCAGAATACAGCCTATAAATGGCTCAGTGTCTTCAACAGATAAACTGCAAGAAAACAGGGTGAAGGAGGGAGAAGGAAGAACCTGAGGTTAAAATAGACTTAAGAAACACAATAACCAAGTAAAATGTATGAACTATACGGGGACCCTGATTCAAACAAATTGTAAAAAAAAAAGGTGTGAGTGGGCAATCTGAACTACTTGGTGATGTCTGGGATCTACTTCAACTTCAAAATAACCTAGTAGGGCTAGGAAAGTACAGAGGAAGCAAGTTGGCCACATGTTGGTAATTGTTGAAGCAGAACGGTAGACTTCAAAGTGACTTATTATACTATTTTTAGTTTTACATGTGTTTAAATTTTTCCATGATAATTTTTAAAAATTCTTTTATGACTAGTTCAAATGTTATGACGTGTGGATTCCAGTGATGGACACCCAGTCACCCGCAGTACCTCCTATGACCACAGGCTGGCTTCAAAACTCAACATTTTTGAGACTTCTCTAGGGCAAGCTTCTGTGAATCAAGGACATGGAAAATGACAGGACAGACCCAACCACCTGCTCACTATTTATTAATTCACAGTGCGAAATGTGAAATGTGACTACCCAGTTTTTACTATCTAGTAGGTCTCCCAGACAGGAAGGCTATTATAAGCAGAATAATCCCCCAAATTTACAACTCCTAGAGCCCAAAATCTGTCATCCTTGCAGCCCTCCCTTTTTCTTACTTACCCACAACCCCATGTTCAGACCTTCTTATCTTCTTGGTTCCTTCCGTTTCATTCTACTTTCTTGACCCCACTGTGGTCCAATCTTGTCCCGTCCTTTCTGGATAACTCTATGGCTTCTTCACTAGCCTTCTGCTTAAAATCTTAAAATCCATTCTCCACGTTGCAACCAAAGTCATTTTCTAGAATACTAATCTGACTATAGATTGGTCAGATTGGATGCAAGGCCAGACATGACCCATCTCAGCTCACCCCGATCTTTTCTTCTCCTTCCATCACTAGGCTCCACACACACTAGCTTCTATTCTGTTCAACCAACTGGGCCTGTTCTCACCTAAAGACTTTTGCATTTGCTGTTCCTCCACCTGGAATGCTCTTTCCCCAGATTTTTAGTCAGTTAACTCCTCTTCATTCCCCCCCCTACACACACACACAAGGACCTCACTTTGCAAAAGCCAGTTCGGATCTTTCCTCACTTTCATCTTATGACCATGCTTCCTTCATCTGTGAACAGTCAGACTTGACAAACTGTCATGGGGGGAACTTGGCTCTGAAGGCCTGGGCTTTCTGTTCCCAGAACAAAGGGCATGTAAGTTACACAGGGAAGAAGAGTAAGAGGAGCCCTTCAGTCCTTGCATCTTGTTTATGCTAAGAATGTTTCCATGCATTCTGCGCTATAATTTCCATGTTGGAGAGTATGAGAAGCCCACCTCTCATTCTACTTTAGATGGCATCCTTGTTACTCATTTCAAGAGTCTCGTAGTGGTGAGGGTCACCTCAAGGGAGAGAAGCAGCTGGGTCCACTGTAATGGATGAGTTTCCTTGTCCCACTTAGCATGGAGGAGGTTTGAAAATATTTTCAGAATTTTGACATGGCCCAACAATTAAAAGGGAGAAACTCCCCTACATACCTGACAGCTGGGAAACCAGTGTGGATAACACTTTATTATCATCCTATGTTTTTTGAGTAGAAAATAGAGACTTTGCTGAACCTCACTCTTTTAAAAATAATTCCTCTGAAAAGTCTAAATGATTGCCATTTTTATTTTATGAGTTTTGGAGGCCTTGTCTCTACTATGAGGAAAGGATGGTGCTGCCCTCCAAAGAGGTGGGCATGAAAATGAAATTATATGGTTTCGATACACAGTGGTCTAACATTTAGAGACCCTCAATCCTAGAAATCATTCCTTCTTTTTGTAAATCAATTTAATATGTCAGTGATAATACTGTGTAAGACCTGGAAGGAAGACTTTAAAAGGGCTCATCATGTAAAACTTATCAAAATAATTCTATTTGCAGAAAAGTTGCAAAAATAATGCAAAGAATTCCCATGTGCCTCATTTTATCATTGCCTATGTATTGCTACAGAAACACATATTTTTTCTTTTTTTAAATATATTTTATTTATTTATTTATTTTTAGAGAGAAGGGAAGGGAAGGGAAGGAGAAGGAGAGAAACATCATTGTGCAATTGCCTCTCTCACACCCCCAACTGGGGATCCAGCCCACAACCCAGGCATGTGCCCTGTCTGGGAAATGAACTTGCAACCCTTTGGTTCAAGGGCCTGTGCTCAATCCACTTAGCCACACCAACCAGGGCGCATATTTCTTCTAAATTTGAGAGTAAATCGTCCTACTAATGTCCTTTATAATTAAAGAAATATCTTTTTTCTGGTCCAGATCCATTGGGATAACACATGAAATCTATCATGTTAAATTTGTCAAGTCTCTCTAGTCTCCGTTAATCTGCAAGTGTTCCTGTCTTTGCCTTTCATGATCTGAGGAAACATCTTTTGACTATCTAAATTTTTTTACCCACTGGTTTATTACACCGTGGTCCTGAGAGAGAAATGCGTTACCTCTCAGTTTTGACCACATTTCCTAAAACAAAGATTAAGAATAACCCATTTTCAAAGAGCCTTTCCTTGATCAGTATTATTCTACCAATTCCCTTTAATTTTTTTCTTTTTACAGCAGCTTTCTCTATGGAGCACATGGTTACCTTTCCCCATCCCCTTTCACCAGACATATTTTCCTTACTTATTATCTCTTTCTCCTAAGATTTAAGATCCCTTCTTTTGCCTCTGCAACTTGTTTCCTGAGACTGTTTCTTCTACAGCTCATTTCTACCTCTGTGACTATCTAAATAAACTTTTTCTTACAGTTTGAAAAAATAAATTTATTTACAGCACAAATTACCATAGTTTTCAAATTATAAGACTCACTTCCCCTCCAAATTTGGGAGGAAAATGGGGGTGTGTCTTATAGTCCGAATGTAGCTTACCTGGCTAGTAAGTGTAGTTTACATTTACACTGGTGAAATATTATGTTATTTATGCTATTAAACATTTTACTACATGTTTTGCTTCAAAAATTTTTTTTATTTTCCTCTAAAACCTAGGTGCGTCTTATGGTCTGGTGTGTCATATAGTCCTAAAAATACGGTACCATGCAGATTTATTTGTTTGTATGTTTCTTGTCTGCCTGCCTGACTAGGCTGTAAACTCCATGACAGCAGAGACTTCTGTCTTCTTCCTCAAGAACAAGAGCCCCTCATAGCCTGGCACTTACTAGCTGGTCAATGAATATTTGTTGAATGAATAAATAATAAATAAGTCAGAAATGTCTCTTAGACTTGTAGCTTAGACAAGCTTAAAAGCACTGAGATAGGGAGTGGGGAGAGATAGTTCTTCTGGGACAGGGATGTCCCCATGATGTTAGGGTTGGGCTTTGAGCAATAATTGCAGGCGAGAACTTCCTGTTTTTCAGGGATCCCCTGACAAGGTTAGTGAAGTTGCCAATAGTAAGAAGTTCTTGGACTGCAGATGGGCAAAGTCAGGTGTCACTGGACAGGGACTGGGACTGAGGCAGGTCTGCCCTGGCGCTGGCAAAATCTGGAATGTGTGGGTTCTTTCTTTTTTTAAGATTTTATTTATTTTTAAATGGGAAAAGGACTTGAACAGACACTTCTCCAAGGAGGACATACAGAGGATCCAGAGACACATGAAAAGATGCTCAATATCGCTAGCTATCAGAGAGATGCAAATTAAAACCACAATGAGATACCAATTTACACCGGTCAGAATGGCTATCATAAACAAAGCAACAAACAACAAATGTTGGAGAGGTTGTGGGGAAAAAGGGACCCTAGTTCACTGTTGGTGGGATTGCAGACTGGTACAACCATTATAGAAAACAGTATGGAATTTTCTCAGAAAAATAAAACTCGACCTGCCTTTTGACCCAGCCATTCCACTGCTGGGATTATATCCTAAGAATCCTAAAACACCAATCCAAAAGAACCTATGCACCCCAATGTTCATAGCAGCACAATTTACAATAGACAAGAGCTGGAAACAACCTAGGTGCCCGTCAGTAAATGAATGGATCAAAAAATTGTGGTACATATACACAATGGAATTCCATGCTGCAGAAAGGAAGAAGGAGCTCCTACCCTTTGCGGCAACATGGATGGAACTGGAGAGCATTATACTGAGTGAAGTAAGCCAGGTGTTGAGGGACAAATACCAGATGATCTCACCTTTAACAGGAAGCTAAACAATAAAACAAACAAGCAAGCAAAATAAAAACAAAGACACTGAAATGGAGAAGGTGGGGGGGGGGGACGACAGCAACCAGAGGGGAGAGGGGAGGGAATTTCAGGGGAAAAAGGGGAGGGATTTAGAGGAGCTAGTAAAAAAAGACATGTGGACAACAGCTAAGGGGGGTGGAAATGGGAGGGAGGTGGGGAGCATGGAGCAGGGGGGGGGGGCTGGGAAGGGAGTAAAAGGCAGAAAACTGTACTTGAAAAATAATTAAATAAAAAAATTTAAAAATAAGATTTTATTTATTTTTAGAGGGGAAGGGAGGAAGAAAGAGGGGGAAAGAAACATCAATGTGTGGTTGCCTCTCATGCACCCCCTACTGGGGACCTGGCCTGCAACCCAGGTATGTGCCCTGACTGGGAAGGGAACCAGCCATCCTTTGGTTCACAAGCTGGCACTCAGTCCACTGAGCCACACCAGCCATGGCAGAATATGTGGGTTCTTGACTTCATGCAGGAAAGATTTCACAACATGAGTCCAGGTGATTTTGAGAGTACATTTATTAAAGCTAGGGACAGTTAAACAAAGGAAAGGCTTAAGATAGAAGAGGTAAGGTTACTGTAACAGGAGTTGTATGGACTCAGGAAAGGAAATTACAGAGGCAAAAGTAAAGTCCTTAGAAATAGGTTAGCCCTGGATGAGCTGTTGCTGCCCGCTGCTCCCCTGATTGCAAGTCTAGTGGGGTCCCTTAGAGTGTAGGGGCAGAAAGTGCACCCCTGAGGGAAAGAGAGAGACAGAGTGCACAGGGCCCAGAGTTTTAGGGGGGAGCATCTCAACAAGATATTAGCTTTCCAGGTGTGTTCTTTAATATGCTGATGCATCAAAATGAGGTTATAGGGAAGTTTGGGATCATTCTCTGGTCAGCTACACTGCTTTACTTTTATCTTGGATTTGTCTGGCTTTAATTGAGCATTTTTGTTATTTCCCTAAATTTTTCCATCCTGGGGTTTAGCTGGCACTAATGACATCAACTGGGTCTCTGGTCTCTATCTCCCAAATCTAGGTGATTCAAGCTACTTACTCTTCGGTTGAGGAAGAGAGGTATAAACTATATGCCCCTAAGGTCCTTGGTTAGGGAAGATAAAACCTTGCAATGTATTAGCAATCTGTTAATTGCTCGGCCTTGTTTAATTATTTTGTCTTCGATTCCTTCATTCCTCTTGCCAGGAAATTCTCCTAACTTCTTACTATCCTGCTTCATCCACACCTCAAGGAACTAAAGAAACAGGGGTAGAATCTAGGTAGTCACCTGCTCCTTGCCTCCCAGGGGCTCTGGGTACTATTTCCTTACTCCACTCGTCCCTCTTTTCTAGGTGGCGTCTACTTTCTTACCAAAACACATCTCTCTTCCACATTCTAATTCAAGATAGCTGGCCATTTTTCTGCCCTCTGCAAATCTCTCACCAAACTGAGTGAAGTTGTCGTGGGAGTCTGGAGGTGGGATGGGGACTAGAATCAGGAAGGTCCAGGTCTCGGGTCCTCGTACAACCAGAGGCTCCGTTGATAATAAGCGGCAGCCGGACCAAGTAGGGATATCCACCTCTCCATGTTGGGTTCCCCTCCTCTCGTCTGGCCCAGGACAGTGGGGAGCTAGAGGGATAGGGAGGAGGGAAGGAGAGAGAGTGTCCGTGCCTGGGCATGGCGTTGCCCTAAGTCCGGCCAGGCGAAGACAGAGCAACTCTTACGCGGAGGGTCATTCTGGGCAACACAGCGGGAGCTGGGGATAGAGGGCCGGGCCGTTCCCAGCGTGGGCAACGGGGAGAATGGAATGTACCCGGCTAGTGCAGGGTGGGCTTCGGTTCTACGGATCTTGATTAGACTCGGCGGAGCCGGGCCCGGCCGCGAGGAGAAGGCTCCTGTGGTCCACCTGTTGGGACTCGACCCCCCCCCCCCCACCGCCCCACAACACACACGCGCGCACGCGCGCAGGCCCGATTTCCGCTCTCCAGGTGGCTCACTGCGGCTCGAAAATGTACTGGTCTCGCGAGATTTGCAAAGATTGTTCCCAGCGCGCCCTTATGCGGTTGCCAAGGCAACTGGACTGAGCCCGAGTCGGCGGGAAAGAGGCGGGCGAATTTTTGCCTGCTGTCCTGAGGGACTTCAGAAGTAGCCATCCCTGAGCTTCTAGCCCTAGAAACCACGGCCTCTGCTCCAGGCGGTGCCCCTGCCTCTAGGGGCCATGGGCCGGATCTCAGCACTCGTGCCCTCTCGTTTTCTGACGCTCCTGGCGCATCTAGTGGTCGTCATCACCTTATTCTGGTCCCGGGTAAGACCAACGACCACCTTCTTCGCGTCCGCATTCCCACTTTGAGGTGTTCCCAGGCCAACCCCCCTAGTTCCCCAGGACCTGACCCAGTCGGGCCCTCCCATCCCCCGCCTCCTTCCCCTCTTTCACTTTTCTTTCTTTCTTTCTGCTCGGCTTGCTCTCCAGGACAGCAACATCCAGGCCTGCCTGCCTCTCACGTTTACCCCCGAGGAGTATGAGAAACAGGACATTCAGTGAGCATTTGGGGCGGGGTGGTCAGAATTAAGTAGTAGTGGGAGCGGAGGGCTCTTAGAAGTCCAGAAGGCCTGAACCAACTCCCCTCCTCTCTGCAGTCTGGTGGCAGCGCTCTCTGTCACCCTGGGCCTCTTTGCAGTGGAGCTGACCGGCTTCTTCTCAGGAGTTTCCATGTTCAACAGTACCCAGAGCCTCCTCTGTATCCTTTCTGCCTGCGCCCCTTTCCCATAATGCCCATTTCCGTTACGACTCCCTTCAGCCACTCTGGGAGGAACACAATAGTGTCTGCCCTTGAAGGCAAACAATCTTTGCTCCATTTAAAAGATCATAGGCAATGCAGATTTAATATAATCTGAGATCATTTGTTAAACTCCTGCTATGCACTGAAGATCTCCAATGGGATAAAACAGCGTTTTACCTTGAGAAGGAAGCAGACCCCGTAATTCAGTGTGATAAGCACTGTACTATAGGAGTGTGTGAAGATAGAGTACTGTGGGAACTCAGAAAAGACAGAGGACGTGAGGAAAATTAATCAGGGAAGACTTGACAATTGAATTGTGGACGAAGAGCACCAGGGTGCTGGAGGCTAATTCCAACAGAATGTTTCAAGTCACTGTGAGCATTCTTGTGTGGCCTGGGGTAGATGGGAAGCCTGTTCCTACCTCATCTGAAGGGTCCAGGCTGGCCCCTCGATATGGGATGGATGTAGCCTGGGATCCAGCTGTGCAGGCTCGGCTCCGGCCTGTACTCACAAGGCTATTCTAAAACTCATAAGACAGAGCTGCTGACTCTGGCCTTTGCAATTGTCAAGGGAGCAAGAAGTGAACCTGATTGCAGATGCCAGCCCCACCACTGGCTTTTTCTGGCACATACTACCTATCCATCCTAAGGCTTTCCTTGACTCAGGTGCGTTCCCAAGCCATCGGGGCTCACTGTAGTGCATCTGTGGCCCTTTCCTTTTTCATATTTGAACGTTGGGAGTGCACCATGTACTGGTACATTTTTGTCTTCTGCAGGTACAGTAATATCCAATGTTTGGGGATGGGGAGGAAGGTTTACCCCAAATCTCAAGGTTTCCCCCACCCCAGTGAAGCTCCTGAAGTCTTTTGAAATCCTGCCCCGCATATATTTTGGGAGTGGATCTCTCGTTTGGGGATTTGGGTGTTTTTATTGGAAGGGACCCTAAACTGACTACCTGCCTTCCACAGTGCTCTCCCAGCTGTCACTGAAGTGGCATTATTCATCAGCGTCTTTGGGCTGAAAAAGAAACCTTTCTGATTACTTTCATGGGAACATAGGAAGAAAGAATGGAGGAGCAGGGGACCATTCACCTTTCCTGGAAGGAGGAAACCCCTCTAAAACTGCATTTGGTGGAGGATTTTAGTGTTAATTATTTGTCAAGTCTGGGATTATACGAGTTTTATTTAGTGTTTTGTAATGAAATCAATTTTAGAGTAACATCAAAACTTATAAAATTTAAGGGGAGAATTGGGGTAGTCAAACTACTAAAGAAACGGAAGGCTGTTTTCCAGCCTTGCAGACTGTATCGCTTTTATTTTGGTTATTACGGTAAAAGTCTGGCGGAAGGCAGTGGGCGGAGATAAGTAAATAATGGCGCTGAAGGTTAGGGCTGCATGCTCGTGAATGGAGCATTCTGGGAGGAATTATTATATCCCTTCTGCAGCCAAATGGGGAAGAAAAACATCTGTTTTTGAAAGATCTGCAAATAAATGCAGCAACAGAAAAGGAAGAATCTAATTTTGGATAGGTCAGCGTACACGTTGTTTACTCACCCTATTTGAAAGCGGAATGCTTTTCAGGGAGTCCGGAATGTCTTACACTAGCAAGTATCGTCAGGTAGGATAATCCTTACCTGTTTCTCCTTTACGGAGAACAGATATGAAAATGATGATTGGAGTTCGCATGATTCGTGATTAACGACTCTGCGTAATCAGGACTTGCAACACCCTGATTGCTCCTATCTGATTCTCCCTGGCGATCAGTAAACTTTTTTTCTTTCTTGATAACGGGTTCTTAATAGTAGAAGTTGGTCTATTTGGGCTTTATATATAGCTAGGTTTAGTGTCAGTTATGGCTTTGGGACTTAGCTCATTTATTAATGAGTGGTATTGCTTTTTTGGGAGTCGCTTCAACTTGTAGAGAATGTCGGAGTTTTCTTTTCCCTTTTTTTCTTCAATTGTTAGGAAGTTCTAGATGTTTACATGTTTTTTAATTTTGAAAGTTGAGGGAATCGAAGAGTTGTTTTGTGTACCTTCGGTCGATCTTCTATAAAATAATCGTTAATGTTGGTTGGACGTGGTGTCACAAGTGGTTTATTGTCAAGTCTATCTTAATATGGTAAGAAGGACCTCCTATTCTGGGGATGGGGAGGGCCCGTGGTCGTTGGATTTGCCACCCAGAAGCTTGGCAAACTTGTTCACAGGGGCGACCACCTCTGCATCTTTGCCTGCTTAACACATGGCAATGTTTAAAAGTTATTAAAACATATAAGCTATTAAGTATTATACATACAAACTACAAGAGTCTGAAGTTCTAGCTTGTCACAGGATGGATGTTCTCAGAGTCATGTTTCCAGGTGTAGTTGTATATTGGGAAGGGGGAACCCAGTCCATTCTAAATCACCTAAAGGCAACCAAGGAGATGCTTTCGGCTGTAGCTTCTCAGGTAATGTCTCACACATAAAACTTTTCCCTGACCATGTATTTCTTCTCCTGGTAGCCTTTCATCCTTGAGCATTCATTCTATAAATACTTACTGAGCACTCACTATGTACAAGGCACTGTGGTAGTTACTAAGTGAACAGATAGGAACATGACCCATACTCAGCCTTGGCCATCGGAGAAACAATTCCCTATACTTCCAGAGTAATTTAATAGCAACTTGTGATAAGTGCTACAAGAGACTTACACATGCTATGGAGTAGTATTTGTCCAAGATAGGAAAAGCGTTGCTTCTACAAGAGCAATTAGAGTAAGGTCCTGAGTGTGGCCAGAGCAGAGACAGGGGAGCAGATTGTGAGGAAAGGCAAGGGAGGTGAACATTGCTGGCAGTGGTTAGAGGCTTGACTAGGAAAATCATATCCCACTCCAGTCTAGCTTTCACCCCCACCCAGGGGTGTGTTCTAGTGATTTGTGAAAGCTAACTTTGTCTGACAGAAATTTTGTAAACCAGTTGTCAAATGCAACGACCAGAAATTATGTAAACTTACAATTAAATAAATTATATTAAAAAACCAGTAATAAATACTCAAAATTCATTACTTTCTGTTCACTTAACATTTTATTATTATACACACTCTTAGGGTTATTTAAATTTATTGTGTCTGTATGGTAGAGATACTATATAATGTTATACTACTGTGTATCTGTTCTGCATTCAGACATTTAGTTCATAGTTTGAAATTGGACTTGGTGGCAGTATTTCACATCATAGAAATGGGCAAACACAACATATATTTTGTTGATTGTGTAGATTTAAGAAGGTAATGGAGAAAATGTTAATAATGCAGATTCTGTTTAGAAGTTTCATGTCTGTAACTGTTACATTGTGAATAGCACAAAAAATGGAGGAAATGTTCTCCTTGGATTTGTAAACTATTATCAGATTTGTCCAGTGTTTTCTCACATTCAGATTGAGTTTATGCATTTTGGACAAGAGTACCAAAGTCACTCAAACCATTGAGTAACCAGAGGTTTCAACATATCTTCATTGTTTCACTGTTTGTCTTACTCGAAAATGTGAATAAACATATCTACCAATATTCATGTTGGAACTACACCTGTGATTAGGATAACAACTCCATTTATGAAATCATGGATGCAAGAGTGAAATTTATTATTTAAAAATACGGTATGTTTTATTATTTGTATATTTTGTGTTACATACTTTTATATCAGTAAAATTTATAATAAGCTTAAGTACGTACATAAATGGATACATTTTTGGAGAGCTGGTTGCTAAACATTTATCACATTCCTGCCCCTACCAGCCTAAGAAACTGTTCATCATCAATGGCTCCCTTGTTCCCAAAACCAGAGGTCACTTCTCAGACTTTAGCTTGGTCTCCTTTCATCATATAATGTTGGCCACTCTTACCTGTAAAAAATTTTTCCTCTAATGGCTTCTGAGAAGTGGTTCCCCTAGTTTATCTCCTGCTATTCTGGCTGCTGCTTCTCAGACTCATCTGATGAATACTGAGTGAGGGCCTACAGTGTACCAGTCACTGGGGACATACTGCTGAGTTGTCTCCTTTGCTTGACCCTTAAATGTTGGTGGTCACTACTTCTTGGGTGACTTCATCCACTTCTTGTCTTCAAGCACCAATCAGATGCTGCTGGTTTCCGAGTCTTGGCTTTCTTATGTGAACTCTATCCCAGGGCAAAGGCTATGGGAGCAAGCTGTGGAGCCAATCCTAGGTTCAAAGCGCCCCCTCTACCCTTCTTGGCTGTGTGATCAGCAACACACTTAACCTTTCTGTTCCTCAATTTGCACATCCACTCCAGAAGTAGCCACTACAAGCACTTCAACTATTTGCTTCTTATTTCAATACCAAAGGTTTTGCCAATTAGCATCAGAAATAGGTTTCCATTTTATTGTGAAATTAGTGGCTTGTTAGTCAGCATAAGCCAGTCACAAAAAGAGAAATACTACTTGGTTGCACTTACATGTGGTACCAAAGGTAATCAAATTCATACAGACATAAAGTAGGATGGTGGTTGCCAGGGGCTGGGGGAAGGAGGGGATGGAGACGCACTGTTTAAGGGGTAGTGAGTTTCAGTTTTGCAAGAAGAAAAGAGTTCTGGAGATCGGTTGCCCAATAATGTGAATGTACTTAATGCTACTGCACTGTACACTTACGGTAAATGTTGTCATGTATTTTTTACTTTAATTTTACAAATAGATAATTAAAAAATAAAAATATCAGTGGCAAAAAGTGGTATTAGTCAATAAAGAACTGATTAACCATCTAAGGAAAATATGGTGTACTGGTAATACTTTACAGAAATGTTAGATGGATCAAATATTACAGTATAAAAAATAAAACCATAAACTCCAAGAAATCTTGACATTCTTAACCTTTTATTTTGAATAACTTTAGACCTACACAAAAACTGCAAAAATGGTACAGAGTTCCTAATACACCCTTTACCCAGCTCTCCAAACATTAACATCTTGCATAGTCATGATATAATTATTGAAATCAGCAAGTCAGTATTGATACAATGCTATTAACTAATCTACAAGTCTTATTTAAATTTTGCCAGTTTTCAACTAATGCCCTCTTTGTCATTCAGGACCTAACCCACGGTTTCACATTGGATTTAGTTGCATGTCTCCTTAGCCTTTTCCAATCTGAGACAGTTCCTCGGTCTTTTTTTTTTCCCCTTGACACACTTGATGAAGGCTGGTGAGTTATTTTGTAGAACGTCCCTCTGTTTGGATTTGTCCGGTGTTTTTTCATGCTTACACTGAGGTTATATATTTTGGTCAATAATACCACAGAAGTAGTTTGGAATAGGGGAGACATTTCTAAGTATGATAACAAAACACAGAAGTCAAAAAAGAGAAGACATACATTTAAATATACATTTGATAACATCTACAAAAAGTGATTTGGTGATATCCCTCAAAATCAATAAAAAATCACAAATACCCATGCCCTTTGACCTAGGGTTTTTATTTCTAGGAATTAGTCCCACACATTTGCATATAGGTAAAATGGGAACGTGTACATTAGTTTTGGTAGCTTTGCTTGTATAGGCGAAAGATTGGAAACGATCTAAATGTCAGCAAGGGATTGGTTAAATTATGTTACAGTGTAATACTATGCAGCCACAAAAAAGGCAAACTTTACACACTTTATGGAATGAACTCCCAAGTTATATGACTAAAGTAAGGCACAGAAGAGTCAATAACAGTTTGATTCCCTTTGTGTAAAGCAGTGGAAGTCTGTGTACACAGAACATCTCTGGAAGGAGGCACCAGGGGACTGGGAGGACTGGTTGTGGAGGGGCAGAAGCTGAGTGGCTGGGATACAGGGTTGGAGAGAGACTGTCTCCATATACTCTTAGGAATTTTTGGAATTTAAACTACAGACATTTAAAAAACATACAAACTATGGTATTTAGACTTTTTAAAATTTGTCTTTAGAGGGGAAGGGAAGGAGAGAGGGAAAGAAATATCAATGTATGGTTGCCTTTTATGTGTTCCCCGCTGGGAACTGGCCTGCAACCCAGGCATGTGCCCTGACTGGGAATCGAACCGAGATCCTTTAGTTTGCAGGCCCATGCTCAGTCTACTGAGCTATTCCAGCCAAGGCCAAACTATGGTATTTTAAAAGCCAGCAGCTACTTCTGTTCTGTTTGGAAATAAAGCTAAGCCAGAGGCCGGCACAGCCAGAAAAGGAGAAACAGATCCCTGCCGACATCATGTGAGCACCAGGCTGTTCCCAGTTACAGTGTGTGAGCCCGCAGATTCTTTTCGGCTTAAATATATTTGAGCTGACCATGCAGAAACTTCATGTCTTTCTTTTTTTTTTTCTTTGAAGATTTTACTTATTTTTAGAGAGAGGGGAAAGGAGGGAGAAAGAGAAGAAGAGAAACATCAATGTGTGGTTGCCTCTCGCACTTCCCACTGGGAACTTGGCCCGTAACCCAGGCATGTGCCCTGACTGGGAATTGAACCAGAGACACTTTGGTTCACAGGCCAGCACTCAATCCACTGAGCCACACCAGACAGGGCATGAAACTTCATTTCTTTAATATGGCCGTTTTTACTCTCTGTCCCTCCATTGCTTCCCTTAAGCATTAGGCCCTTAGAACATCAGATTCTGGTCATCATCAAACTAAGAACAAAGCTTGACCACAGAAACAGAGTTTCCTTCAAGCTAAAGAAACATCTTGATTTCAGTTATTTCAATCCTCAGGCCCATGAAAGTGCAAACCACACCCTCCTCAACCAGACAGAACAATGCCATGGTTGGCATCAGGACCTGATACAATGGTCAGCTACTCCCTACACTGGCCTCAACCAGTCAGCTGAGCCCATGACCCCAACTCCCTTAGCTCCCAGGATTAATGACTTTTCCCCTCATAACCCATCTCCTGGAAGCCATCAGGAGCAGTCTTTGAGCATGAGCTCACCTGTGACTCCAGTTGTGGTGCCATTTCCCTAAAAAAAAACCCTTTACTTTCTTGGCTGCAAACCCCTATTCATGTTTGATTGGGTTTTGATGCATGCAGGTAAACAGAGACATTTAGTCCAGTAATACTGTGTTGGCAAGTGTCTTTATTAT